CCTATTAAGCATGCTCAAAAATCGATCGTCGATTTTCAAGTATAGCTAAAAAGAGCTTGTTAATGTCGAATAACATTCCGTCACATTTTTACAATAACGAAATTACGAAAACAAATGGGTCAGCTCGACCGGAGTGATGTCACATGAACACAAGTGTGATCACACAGAAAACCGACGTAAAACAACGCTTGCGTTGTGTTTCCTCTTCCTAATTACCCCAATCTTAAAATTCCGAATCCCTAAAAGGACGGTAACGCACTTGTAACGCCTCTGGTGTTCCAGGTGTCCATGGGCGACGTCGATTGCTTATCATCAGGTGAATCGTCGGCTCATTTACCGGCTTATCCCATAAAACAAATCTCGCTACATCAATCAAAATATACATAAAAGGTTACACACTGTGGCGTCCATTTTTCCTCAGTTTGCATAGTTATTCTCATTTTTTTCTCATTTGAAACTTCATATGTCATGGGTATCTCTTATATAGGGGGAAACTGAGAAATTTGTGGGATTTAATATCTGTGTCTCATTTTTCATACGGTATTTAGATGTTCTTTTGTTGTTTCATAAATACAGATTAGAGATAGAATAAATTATATTTATATCAATGGAATTTATGGTCAGAATTATTATCGTTGTTCAATTGTTTGATGACATTTTTTTAAAGTTCCTATGTAAAAGTGGGATTTGAAAGTATTAATTATAAGGCATATTTATTGTATCAGGATTATAATAAATAAGTCATAAAAAACATAAAATCACACCTTTTTATCCCCGAAGGGGTAGGCAGAGGTGCACATTACGGCACTTAATGCTACTGTAATAGGTGGTGAGCCTATTGCCATATACCGGGCACGTTTACAGACTCCGTGCTACTACTGAGAAAATTAGTTTCATAGTGTCTTTATTGGACTACGCAGCTTCGTCTGCGTAAAATATGATTCCTGTTAGAACAGCTAGCATAAAATAATATGTGGACCTCTGCAAATCCCTTTCATGATTTAATGACGTTATGTATGTTACAAGCCTTAAACATATTGACTAATCGACTAATCTAAACGATTCATTAGTGTATCGAGCTAGGAAGCCACGGTTACCACACTACAGCAATCAAATCAATATCAATCAGACAGTTATTACATAATTGAATGATCAATTATTATTAATTCAACAATAAAGACTATGTATCTAATCTCAAGGCCATTAATTCAATCCCTGTGTTTTCTATTACGCATTCATTTTAATTATCTAGGTATCTGGCCATGTTGGCGTTCCATAGTCTTTATCTAAACCCAAGGGGGACATAACAGGTTACCGGGGCTCCGGCTAGAAGTACAGGAGAAGGAACGGGGTGGTCTTTAGTCAGTAAGAGTTTGACACTCCCTCCCACCTCACCCAGGCGGGAGCAGTCATTCGATGATTTTCCCCCCTTAAAAAAGGGGGGCAGGCGTGACGTTATGTACATACATAGCGTCACGCTTGTTGCACGAAGAAAACATTCCTTTACATTTGAAAAGAAAGAAAATTGCATTTTTTTTTATTGTTTTCGTACACTGTAATCGTATCGACTAAAATCTGTAAAAGTGGCACCCTGAACTTTTATTGCGTCGATTGTGAGGAAATAAGAGTCAATAATAATGAATTCTCTTTAACAAATTTTATAAATTTATGATTTCATTGTTTTCCTTTCATTAAATTTATGAAGTTTTTAAATGTTTTCTTTGAGTAATATTTTCTACATAAAGTATTAAGAGTACTTCCTCTTCAGGTAACGTTACAAAATTCCACCCTGTATATGTCTAGCCATATCTGTACTTCAGCGACCATTAGTCTTTTTTATATTTAAAAGGATGTCATTTGATTATCATTTTGCTTGATGGAAATGTGAATAATAAACCACATATTGACAGAAACCTTACAATGTTGGTCTTTAATTAATCATAGTAATATGATATGCCACTGATTTAAATATGTTTAACGCCTTCGGCGGCATCTTTTTATTTAAGGAGGTAGTGTCATTGAATGCCTTCTCTCGCCTGTGAGAGGGAGTATCATACTCTTACTGACTTAAAATCACCCCGTTTCTACTCCTGCACTTCGAACCGGAGCCCCGGTAACCTTTTACGTTCTCCGCGGCCCCGTATCGGCATTAACCCTATTGGGCCCTACTCATGATGGTCTGAAACACAAAGGGTCATCTCCGACTAAATTTAGTGGATGATATATGTCTCCAGCAGTTTTCTATTGGCAGTCAAAGGTTTAAATTAGTTAATCCGCTAACTTAAATCAGGCAAGAAACAATGAATTCCAAAAGACATATTATATGTAACAACATATATAGTTCTCTGTTTACCTCGCCTAAGTATACATATATAATAAACTACCTAATGAATAGTAAGGATAAAGGAATTTCGAAGAGAAATCCGTTCACAAAATTTATTATTAGTTTCGTATGAAACCAAACCGCTACGCAATGGGTTTATTGGATAATTTCACAAAAGGGTAAAGCAATTATAATCTAAGGATACTTCGGGTATTTTATTGGAATGCGGAGAATGATTTAGTGCTAGGATTTTGTAAGAAAAACTTGACATAACATCACGTCCTGTATCCCCAAAGGGGTAGGCAGAGGTGCACATTACGGCACTTAATGCCACTGTACAATGTAACACCTACTTTTCACTACTTATGTCCCATGTAATACTGAGCCTATTGCCATACACCGGGCACAATTCCAGACTCCGTGCTAATAATGACATTAAAAAAAAAAACAGTAATACTTTGCCCGACCCGGAAATCACACCCGAGACCCCTTGCCTAGCAGTCACACATGCGACCACTCAGCCAACGAGGCAGTCTTAGTCAGAAAAACTTATCTTTTGTTCACATATCATCCTGTACATCATCGACAACCCGTGACGCTAGACTATGCACTAGCAGATAGGTCGTTAATCGCAGCTTAAAATGAAAGAGTCTGACTTATTACAGAGCGCTATATACGGCCTTGTTCCAGTGGAATATGTAACAAGGGACTCTGCATTACTACAGAGTCATTGCAAGAGTTTGAGTTGCGGGGAGCCCGTGGATACAGGTGTAGAGTTGTCATTTGACGTGGAGGACTAAGGGGTAAGCCTTTGCCCAGCAGTGGACGTCTTCCAGCTGTTGTTGATGAGGATGTCTGCATTTAGAGATATTTTTTTTTTAAGTGGTGACAATCATTGAATGACTTCTCCCGCGCTTACGACATGCATGGATAGCGTAGACTGTCGATATCATTACCAACCTTTATAATCATTTCTAAATTCATCGAAATGTGTCGAATCAATTGTTGAATGAACAAACTTTGTTGAACTCATAATCCAGTATAAATAAATCGAAACTTGTGAAACAAACAAAGTATCTTAATAACTAAACTTTTGGAGACTTTACATCGTTTATTTATTCAACCATTTACAATGATATATATTTTATGAACGATCCTTTTAATAGAAGTGATGTACATTGATGGTCCAATTAGTTACTAATTAGGATCTTGTTATACAAAGCCGTCAATGTATCAAGACATCAGCAATTATTCAAGACGAAGTTCGACATTCTCTGAGTTTGGAGGGGATTAGGAACAAATCCGTGGTCCCTCATTATTTCTTATCTCCAGTGGAATTAAATGCTTGAACAGTCTCAATAAAGACGAGTTTATTTTCTTTTAATGTAGCGTTAATTACTTTTAGGTTTAGTTTGAAATAAAAAACATTAACCCAGGTTTTTTAAATGTATTAAAGATTGTTTTTTTTTGTTCACTCAATTTTATTTCTCTATTACAAATGCATAAATAGTACACAATAGACGTATACTTAGTAATTTCATTATTGATTATTACTTGATTTCTTCTTCTGTAGATAATAATTTTGTCAAACTCAAAAACAGTAATTAATAAGTGTGTGAGAGCCATAGTTTGACACAACTGGGCTGGTTTGACCGGAGTAATACCAACGCCTCACAGAAAACCGGCGTGAAACAACAGAGGAGCTTTGTAGTAATTCGAGTGAACTTACCTCAGACCTAATTCCGAAATCCTCAATACCTAGAAGGCCAGCGAGGCACTTGTATCTCCTCCCTTGTCGCGTCTTTCCATCAACGACATCGACTGCTTATCATCTAATAATCAGTTTGCCTTTAACCTTCAATGCTATAAAAATAACTCTTCAACCATGACACACTACTAAATTAAGAAAAATCGCGGGTTACTCACGTGAATATACTGAGAAAAGCTCTACTAGTTTCGAACTACAGAGGGGTTCTTCCTCATGACGTCGCGCAGCTCACTGACAAAGCTCAGTGAGCTGCGCGACTCTTCAGCCGACCCAAGATGTAAGCGAAATGTCTTGTTAGCACTTAAAACCATTCAATGAATATAAGACGACGTGCTCCATCGTAGACCTCATCATTGCTTACCACAATTATTAAACCTTTGACTACCAATAAAAAACTGTTGAAGATAAATCCTCCGCTAACGTCGGTCACCGGTGACCCCCATGGCGTTTAACGATAGATAATGATCAAAAGTCGCATCAGCGAATCAAATATAAAAAAAATAAAATAAAAAACTCATCGAGGCATCCAAAATTAAAATTACAAAATAAAAATATGAAAGTAATAAGATTATAATATCACAAATGTTCATTATTCTGTGGGGGCTACTTTATCAATTTAGTTCTGAATATTAAAAGCCTCAGGTTCTGATAATCTTTTAACAATATACTCGTTAAACTTTAGGATTTATTGCGGATTAACTTTCTGTTAACTGTTAATATAAAATTTTATTCAGTTATTTAAATAATATGAAAAAAGGATAAGTCTCAGTTTCTATTTCTAGGTTTGGCAAAGCATCATCTAGTGTTTTGGATATTGTGAAATATATATAAATTTAAAATGCTTCCAGTTGGTAATGAAGATGATGGTTGTTCTTGTTGTACTTCAGGATCATTATGTTATCATTAAAATCACTGATTTCCCTTACACTCATATCCCTCAGCTTGGACGAACAAAGTGTCTGAAAATAAAAAAAATGCCAATCGTATTATTATGTTTAATCCAAGTTCGTGCATGTACAGTTGAGGGCACAACCGCCTGAACACCACTAAATTCATGTTTGCTTGCACCTGATGAGATCTGCTCTCTATTCCCGCCCCATGACCTTAAATTGGCGAATGAAGCGGGGTAGAGCGCGGGGCTGGCCCTGGTGCAGGTAGCCGAATAATCTAACTACTACTAACAATTAAGGGATTGCATAGGTTGTGTCACGAAGCTGTGTTTATAGTTGTTTCTGTTATTTGAGACATTTATGCAGTTTGGTTTGATGGTTTTGCCGGCCACAAGGAATAAAAATTTAAAATGATCAGGCAGATTTGTCCTCCACTGTACGTGTACGTGTGCATATAATCTTTATTACTAAAATATATAAATTGGCATTTGTATACATGGTCGGTAAGTGTACAGCAGTAGGAGAACCAGGGATGTTATGGATATGAAATTTCGGATACGGATTGGATACGGATACAGAAATGATTATTATACTGGATACGGTTACGGGTACTGATATGAAATTATTACGAATTATCTGTTAGTTTCGGATAATTTCGGTTACGGATATTAAAATTTTAAGGAATTTTAAAAGTAAAATACAAATAGCTAATATAATTGTTTCGTTTATACGTCACGCCGCTATCCGATAGTATCCGAAACTTTTATTTCGGATTCAGTTACGGTTACGGATATTTTTTATATCGGATATCCGATAGTTTCGGTTACGGTTACGGAGCTCACTAACATCCCTGGTAAGAACAATGAGGGAAATTCTTACCATCCGCCATGTCTTGACCAAATATTCCTTTGCCGGTTTCCTCACGATGGAGACAATTTGTTAGGTCAACATCACAAAAGGTAGCAAAACTGAGCCATTTTTTAAGCTTTCTATGATAAGCGCAAAGTTCATTAAAATTGGCGCTGAAAAGAAGTATTAATAATATTCAATTAAATCAAGACACAAGAGGGTTTTTAAAAATCTCAGTGGTAGCACGGAGTCTGGAAATGTGCCCGGTATATGGCAATAGGCTCACCCCCTATTACATGGGACTCATAACATAAATAGTAAAAAGTGGGTGTTACATTGTACAGTGGCATTAAGTGCCGAAATGTGCACCTCTGCCTACCCCTTCGGGGATAAAAAGGCGTGATGTTATGTTATGTTAAATCAATACAACATTCTTCAAAGAATCAGTAAAAAAAATGTTTAATAACATTATGGTAATAGTTTGGCAATGGTGAAGTGTATGATATTTTTTTTTTGAAATTCAATGCAATGCCTGCCTCGTTGGCCGAGTAGTCGTAAGTGCGACTAGGCAAGGGGTCTCGGGTTCGATTCCCTGGTCGGGCAAAGTATTACTGGGTTTTAAATAAAAATCTCAGTAGTAGCACGGAGTCTTGAATTGTGCCCGGTATATGGAAATAGACTCACCCCCTATTACTTGGGACTCATAACATAAATAGTGAAAAGTGGGCGTTACATTGTACAGTGGTATAATGTGCACCTCTGCCTACCCCTTCGGGGATAAAAGATGTGATGTTATGTTATGTTAAACTAGGTATTTAAAGATTAAAATGTATGATTAATATTGTGGTTTCTTACAGATCTCGAACACATTTCGTGTGTAAGTAGTAACAATCATAGTAAATTGGATAAATGCCTGTTGGAAGTAGATCATAGTCAACGCCTTCAAATACGAGTGTTGGTCCGTAAGTAATCAACTCTAAAGGTGGCAGTTCCATTTTACTTTGCATTAGTTCAAACGTATTCGGAGGACGAGGACCATGTTTGTCCAGTTCTTTTTGCTCTCGCCCTTCTAATTGATGGGTATCTTTACCTCCCGTTGCTTGAATAATCAATTACAAACAAATTAATTAGTGGACTGCCAATGGAAAGATTTTCAGCTTAAATATGAGTATTATCGAGTATAATAGTAATTGGTAATGTATTCTCATCAATAGCCTATAAATGCCCTCTGCTGAGCAAAGCCTCTTCTCACACGGAGAAGGTTTGAGTATTAATCACTACGCTTGCTTCATGCGGGTTGGTGATTACAAAGTTATAATAAGAAATTACTAGGTGACCTGGCGAACTTTGTACCGCCTAATTATTGGAGGCATAATTAGTAAGTCACAAACTCACGACACAATACTTTTTTAATTTTATTAAAATTTGTTGCTTTTAGATTTTTAGGAATATTAATTAAAGAATTGTAGTACAAGATGCACAGCAAAGAGACGTTTACATTTCAAGTGACATTTTACCATAAACATTTTTTTATTGGGTGAATACTTACAAATATTTACACTCTAATTATATTTTTGAGAGTTGGTAACACTGTCAAACATTTGAAGGTACTCTCAGTTCCACTCGAATTGAAGAACGCATTAAAACGAGACTTTTGAATCGACAACATAATGTCCACTTTGCTCATAACATCGTGTATTTAAATTTCAAAATATAAAAATAATTAATGTGTTGACATGTTTGATGGGTGCCAACCTTAAAGTGTTACCAACTCTCAAAAATATAAATAGAGTGTAAATTAATATTTGTAAGTATTCACTCAATAAAAAATTGTTTATGGTAAAATGTCACTTGAAATGTAAACGTCTCTTTGCTGTGCATCTGTACTATAATTCTTTAATTAATATTCCTAAAAATCTAAAAGCAACAAATTTTAATAAAATTAAAAAAGTATCGTGTCGTGTGTTTGTGAATTACTAATTATGCCTCCAATAATAAGGCGGTACGATGTTCGCCGGGTCAGCTAGTTTTAGTATAAATATGTTTCTTTAAAAAACGTTGCCCCACACTAGGATTTTCTCCTGTAACGTGGTTGCGTTTATAAACATACAAGTTTACATATACAATGACACCTAGACCTGAAAAATCAATTTGTGGAATACACAAAGAATTGTTTGGTGCGGGAATTGAGCCCGCGACACGTTGCGTGGCAGCCGGTTGCCCAGCCACCGCACTAACCGTGTTGTCAAGTATATATCAATATAGTTTGACCCACTTTAGATTTTTAAAATGTCCTGAAATTTAATAAATATGCTTACCTTCATTTGGCCAAATTGCAGATAAAATACACCAGAGTGAAAGTATAAGAACACTTTTATGAAACATCTTTAGTTCTTGCTTCAGCTGTCGATATGCAACTAGCTGCATGTTGATCGTTCATTAAGACACATAAATTGATTTCAGATGAAGTTAATTAAGTTCTTTGTTAATTGCTTACAATCATGATAGGTAACAAACATCAACAACAGTTCTTCTTAGTTATGAACTACACTTTGGAACGAGCTTTACTGACAGACATACGGACGGACAATTACATTTTTTACGTTTCATAAGTGCCTAATTAAAGATTATTATAATTTTTATTTAATGGCATAAGCCGGTAAACGAGCCGACAGATCACCTGATGGTAAGCAATCGGCGTCGCCCATGGCCACCTGGAACACCAGAGGCGTTACAAGTGCGTTACTGGCTTTTTGGGGATTAGGAGTTTGAGCATACGGTAACCTCACTCAAACGACGAAACACAACGCAAGCATTGCTTCACGTCGGTTTTCTGTGAGGCCGTGGTATCACTCCGGTCAAGCCGGCCCATTCGTGCTGAAGCATGGCTCTCCCGCATTTATTGAAATAAATGTTTTGACTTTGATTGTATTTATCGTTATATGAATGGTTTTACTATGTGATGATGCAAACCATAAATGTGATTACAAATTTTCAACTAAATCTTGCGATGATAATTATTGCTTACTCCTGAAGAGTTCAACTCTCTAGCTATGCATCATCACCTTAATTTGACGAATGAAGCAAGATGGTTGATTGAGCTAGTGCCAGCGCAGGCAGACAAACAACATTTACACCATACAGAATCAGGTACAGAATTTCTCATCTTGGTATGGCACTCATTAGCTTCAATAAGCGTAGGCGCGTCGCTGGTAAGCGATCGGTACTATTGGCAAAACCAGCATTGTCCACCTTATGGGATTAGGGATTTGAGAATATCAAAAACATCACAGTCAAAATCATTTATTTAAATTAAGTAGACCAGGAAGGCGCTTTCGAAAACGCCCGCTTCTTATCCATTGGTTCGAAACCTACCAACGGCCTAAGTACCAATTTGACTTTTCCGAGTTATATGTTCTTTCTAAGATTATTTAGACATCACTGACAAACGATGAAGAGAAAATATCATAGGGAAATTTAGCTTTATTTTTTTTATATATTTGAAATTGCCAAGCCGCATTGAGCAAGTGTAGTGATTAATGCCCAAACCTTCTCCGTTTGAGAGGCTTTTGGTCAATAGTAGCCTCTTATAGGCTGTTGTTGATGATAATGATGAAATGAAATTATGGAATCGTCAAGGATCAAACAGATTGTCTATTGAAACTCGATAGTCCCCATTGATAGGTTATGAGGTTAGATTTTCGTAGATTCTTGAATTAATTACCTAAAATTGGAAATAATTTGGTTCGTACTTGGTATATTACAATAATATTACATATACATTCGTGTGCCGTCCTATCTAACCTAATAATAATATCTATAATGCATTGCATCTGTAGTGTACAGTGGACACCAACAACAAGCACATCAACCTGCTCCAATGTGTCAATTTTTGTCATTGGACTTTCGACTTTATACATAAAAAAATATAGTTAGTTATCTTTAATAGATGTTGCAGCTATCGGCTCCAGTAGCGGCGGTGGAATTACTGCCTTATAATAATTATATTTTTATGATCATAAATCAATGGAATCCTGTAAGTTCATTATTTTATTTTAAAAATAATATAATAATAACATAGGCTACCTATTACATGGTTTCATTAAAAAGTGCATTTTTAATCTGAGTTGTACTGCATTCCGATTTTGTAATACAATTCTATAGCTTCTTTTCCAGTCGTTGTATGACTCTGATAATATTCACAAGCATGAGACATACCATTGTAATACAATTCTCCTGCAACAAAATATAATCTGTATATACAAAAGAAAGTCGTGTTAGTTACACTATTTATAACTCAAGAATGGCAGAATAGATTTGGCTGAAAATTGGTAGGGAGGTAGCTTAGAGCCAGGAGACCGACATAGGATACCATTTTTAACATTTTTAACCAAATTTTTTGTTTTACTTTTACCGAAAATCAAGGACGGGAACGGGAAATATCAGAATTGCGCGTACGAAGTCGTGGGCAGAAGCTAGTTAGGTAATTATATACAAAAATACTACCATGGGCTAAGCCGGTAAACAACTAGACGGATCACCTGACGGTAAGCAATTGGCGTCGACCGTGGAGACCTGGAACACCAGGCGTTACAAATGCGTTACCGGCCTTTTGGGATTAGGAATTTGAGGATTGTTGGGGGTTAAAGGTTTGGGGGGGGAAGGTAATACTTTTTTACAAATAGGCATACCATAATTATATTGTCTTCTTTTATTGACGTCATTCTTTTGAAGTTCCAACAAACAAATCTGTAGATTTATTTCACACAGACTAAAGTAGTTTATCAATCCATATTTAGTATTGTAAGCGCAGACTGGCTCATAGTCTTGTCGATTTCTGAAATATAATTAGTTCCTCATCATCATCTTCAGTATGAACAGCCTATAAGTGTCTACTGTTGAGCAAAGGTCTGTTCTTTCACGGAGATGCTTGAAAATTAATTACCACGCTTGCTCATAGCTTGTTTATGATTTCAAACGTATGATTAAAAATTGTAACATAATAAAATGACTGCCTTGTCGGCCGATTGGTCGCAAGTGCGACTACCAGGCAAGGGGTCTCGAGTTCAATTCTCGGGTCGGGTAAAGTATTACTGGGATTTTGAAAAATTCTCAGTTGTAGCACGGAGTCTGGAATTGTGCCCGGTATATGGCAAAGGCTCACTCCCTATTACATGGGACTCATAACATATATAGTGAAAATTGGGTGTTGTACTGTACAGTGACATGTTTTTTTATATATATACTATGTGCACCTCTGCCTACCCTTTCGGGGATAAAAGGCGTGATGTTATGTTATGTTAAAAATGGCAATATAATTAGTTAATTCTGAGCATGAACATGAGTTACTACTTTAAAGAAATTTTCTCAATTTTATTTTAAATTAAACTTTGTTCCACGCTGGAATTTTCTCCTGTATCGTTTAAAAACATACTATTTCACATACAAGTGACACCGACACTCAAAACAACAATTTGTGGATCACACCAAGAGTTTCGTGCGGATCAAACACGCTATACGTGTTAACAATTTATAATTTAAAAAAAAACGTTGCCCCACATTAGGATTTTCTCCTGTGTCGTGGGTGCGTTTATAAACATACAAGTTCACATGACACCCAGATCAGAAACAACAATTTGTGGATCCACAAAGTGTTACTCCGTGCGCGAATCGAACCCGCGACACGTTGCACGGCAGCCGGTTGCCCAGCCACCGCGCCAACTGTGCCGAAAATTTAATGTAATTTGACATGTCTCAATATATTTATTAAAAAAAAATACTACATAATTATGTTACTTACAAATTCTTATCACAAATCACTTTATTTGGAAAACAATCACTTTGCTTAACTACGGGTTGGGGATCTTCAACGTCATTAAAATCATATGTCATATAATCGCTATCAAAAACAGGTTTACAATACAATGATTTAACCTCTTCTTGCAGTGGAAGTATATCTGCTTTTACTGTAATAAAAAAAAAATATAATTATGAATAGAATGAATCACTATGAAACGTATTATATGTCTGTGGCTACTTATCGAACTACTGGTTCAAACTGGATAATTCATTTTTATTTTTTCAAGGTCGTTCAGGGCCGCTTTGTCCAACGCCAGATAAAGGACAATGTCCAAAATGGCCTTGTGTAATAAAGAGTATCAGAATATACGATAATTAAACCTCTATTTTATTATATAAGTTGCAAATACTTCTGTATCACCGACTAGCTGTATTCCAAAATGTACTTTTAATAGAATTTAATGCGATTAATAACATAAGATCGCCATCCACGACTAATGTCAAATGCTTTCGCTTAATGTAATAAGCATGGTAATAGGTAGTTAGAATAATATTATACAGTAATCAAAACTTCTTTACTTCTATACAATCATTCAAACATTCAACATTCGTTCAAATATTCGTTTTTATGATTAGATTACAACCTCAAAATCTGATACTTTTTTGAAATAATATATCTTTTCTGCAGCTAGTCCGCTATAAAAACAAGATTTTCTAGGAGTCTAAAAATGATAGGGAATACAATACACAATTATCCGATACTCTTGGCTCCAGGGCCAACAATCTATGGACGCAGAGCATGTGCTTGCATGAGCAATGTCCTTTTAACTGAGGATTAATTTTGAATATTTGACAATTCTTCCATACTAAAAACTGACAACTGACAATTTTATTCTACAGTAAACAATTAACTGACTATTGAAACATCGGCCCTAGGGATAACGGGAAAGTTCTCGGTCGTTTTTAACGCAATTTATCATCAGCAGAATAGGTCCAATAACTGACGAATCGATTGCTTCATTTATGTTAACAAAATCGTTTAAATGTTTGCTTGGCAAATGAAAAAGAGACTACGTAGTCTACAACTTTATTGTACCAAAAGGATGTCCACGAAAACCTTCGATATTCTTTCAAAACTATATTACCAAGACAGTATTATAGAACAAAGCTATCATTAAACGAAACAAGAGCTATGAATTATATCAAATTAGAAAAATAAATATATTTAGGAAAACATAAAATTTTGGCTTTTAGCTTACTCAATACTCATGTAACTGTTTGTCGAGAAACTCAACAAGTTTCAAGCCATTCTGGGGCTCATTTGTGTAGTTAATTATAATATAAAACTAGAAATTACCTGCCAGTCCTACCATTAGTATGGCAATGCAATAAATCTTATTCCGCATTGTACATTCGAAGAGTCTTCTCATGTCTAGTTTGAGATAATACTAACAGTCGATCTAATAAAAAGACTAATAGACTTATATCGAAACAATCACTTAATGAAGGTCATTAAAAAGATGACAATGAAAGAAAATCTTGATAAGAACTATGATTAACGGATTAATATCAGCGATATTTAACATTACCACATAACATTATGATTTTCATACCCGAAGGGTAAGCAGAGGTGCACATAAGAGCACTTAATGTCACTGTACAATGTAATACCCATTTTTCACTATTAATATTATGAGTCCCATGTAATAGCGGGGTATATTTTAAATCCAGTAATACTTTGCCCGACCCGCGAATCGAACCCGAAACTTCTTACCCGGCAGTCGCCCTTATGACGACTTGGCCAACAAGGCAGTGATTTTTCAATAATAATGTTAAAGGATTCAAGTGTGGGAGAGCCATGCTTCGGCACGAATGGGCCGGCTCGACCGGAGTGATACCACAGCCTCACAGAAAACCGACGTGAAATACCGCTTGCGTTGTGTTTCGTCGTATGAGTTAGGTTACCGGAGGCCCAATTATCCTCCTTCCCCAGTCTCCCAAATCCCCGAATCCCACACAATCCTCAAATTCTCAATTCCAAAAAGGCTGGTAACGCACTTGTAATGCCACTGGTATTTCGAGTGTCCATTGGCGACGCCAATTGCTTACCATCAGGTGATCCATCTGCTCATTTACCAGCTTATTCCATAAAAAATAAAATTTCGAGCATGCCCTATGAAGCGCATTTTACTTTAGGGTTTTTCAAAAAACCTTTAATCTTTCATCAAACCTGCAGATGTTTTTATTATTTGCAATAAGGATACACAGAATGTTTATCCATTTTCTTTATTAGACAAGTCGTTGCATGTATGATTTCCTTCCTAGGCTAGGTTATGCTCTTAAAGATATGCTATTACAGATGAAGTACCCTGAGGGTTTCGGAAAAGGTCTATAACAGGCCGGAATCCCTCATAGGTGATGAAGGTAGCAAACCATGAGATAAGAATCCCATATTCCCTAGCCTGTCTCCCCAAAAAGCTAGACGCCATTTTGTAAAGTTTCCCTTAATAATAAAAAAGGCTAGACTACGCTTCCACAATACTACTGAGACTTTCAATTTTAGATTTCTGGATTAAAATCTGGAACATTAAAATGGTCGTTAGTTGGAATTAATATTTATTTTATTTTCTGATTCCCAAGACATCATGTTGTTGAATGACTATATTTTTTCTGTCTGTCTATAAAGTATTACTGGGTTTTAAAAAAAAATCTCAGTAGTAGCACGGAGTCTGGAATTGTGGCCGGTATATGGCAATAGGCTTACCCCCTATTACATGGGACTCATAACATTAATAGCGAAAAGTGGGTGTTACATTGTACAGTGGCATAATGTACACCTCTGCCTACCCCTTCGGGGATAAAAGGCGTGATGTTATGTATTATGTATATTTTTTCTAACCACAATGTTAATTCTAATATTACTTTATCTTCTTTTGCAGGTAATACTTCATTAAAGTTGTTTTGAGTGCTATCTGAAGGGGTGAGTTACTAACATAAATAAAACAGATCAAAAATATCTTTATTGAATAAACAAGTAATACATAAAAATATTTTTACTGGCTTCTGGCAACGGCTTTGCTCGCGTTCCCGTGGGTAAAAAGTAGCCACTATATTCTACTCCTGTTCCAAATTTCATTTCAATCCCTTCAGCCGTTTTGATGTGATTGAGTATATAAAATCACGCCTTTTTATCCCCGAAGGGGTAGGCAGAGGTGCTCATTTCGGCACTTAATGCCACTGTACAATGTAACACCCACTTTTCACTATTTATGTTATGAGTCCCATGTAATAGGGGGTGAGCCTATTGCCATATACCGGGCACATTTTTCCAGACTTCGTGCTACTACTGAGATTTTTAAAAACCCAGTAATACTTTGCACGACCCGGGAATCGAACCCGAGACCCCTTGCCCGGCAGTCGCACTTGCGACCGGCCAATGAGGCAGTCGTGATTGAGTAATAACAAACATTCACACATACATGGTTGTGAGCGACATGCAGCCAAGGCATGAGAGACTTATTCAAACAGTTACGGGATTAATATAATTTATTTTTAATAAATAAATATTATTTGTTTACAATTATTACGACAGTTGTATCATAGAAATCTGTATATTTTTAAACCAATATATTCGGATCCATATCTCCACCTTCATGTACATAATATTCGGGGCCTTCCGCACCGGCTTCGAAATAAATTTGAACAGCATGTTCTCCATTCTTTGCCATTTTGAAGTAGAATTTACAATCATGCATTAGACCGTTGTGATAAATAAGATCTGGAAATAAAGATTAGTGTCCTTGAAGTAGGTTAGCAAGACTAGTTTTTATTTTAATGTCCGCCTGATAGATTATTTTAAAATATTAGAAACAAGTACTTTCAATAACATCGCGTGACGTCACTTCTAGGTACGTTTTATATGTAGAAATGACATTTTGGCTTCCACTCCCAAACTTTGATTCATTTTATCTAAGTATTGTTTTCTTTTAGGATAAAATAAAAAATATCTGTGTTATATCTTTTCATTACCAAGCTGACGGACTAAATAGATTTTTATTTTTCATACCCAGTAACGCACAATTTTATACTACATCATCAACATAAAATGCCTTATTGGTCAAACTAAATTTTTTTTTTACTTTTTAAAATGCAAAATTTGTTTTTTATAAGATTATAATTACCATCATCGTTTCGGACGCCGTACGAATACATCATGTTGCGACCAGCTTTCGTTTGTCTCTCACAATTTTCTAAATAAATACTACATATCAAGTCAAAATCTATCAAACCCTCATTTCTAACGTAAGCACAAACTTCTAATTCGTGTGGTCTGAAAAAAATGTCATGTAAATTATTATCTATATATATATAAAAGAAGGTCGTGTTAGTTACACTATTTATAACTCAAGAACGCCTCAATCGATTTAGATGAAAATTGGTAGGGAGGTACAAGGAGACGGACATAGGATACTTTTTAAACAATACTTTTTTTACTTTTTACCGAAAGTCACGAACGGGAACGGGGGAAAATGGGATGGCGCGTACGAAGTCGCGGGCTGAAGCTAGTATATGATAAAATAATATAACTTTAGTACTTTGTTTCATAAAATAATACCTATTTAGAGAATTGGTTTTCTTAAGATGACCAAAAAACACGTTGGGTTTATTAAATACGCCTTTTGAATACCATACGTCTCAGAGACGTGCGTTCAAGTGTAGGAGAGCCATGCTTGAGCATGACTAGGCTGGCTTAACCGGAGTAATACCACGGCCTCCCACCAAACTCATAATCCTCAAAAATCCGGTAACATGATGTCCATGGATGGATCGCTTTCTATCAGGTGATCCATCTTCTCGTTAACCAGCTTATCCCATAGAAAAACGTAAGATTATCCTTTTCGCTAGTCTAAATGTTATAACTATCCTTCTAGGGTTGACGCAGAAGTTTGTTTGGTTACGTGTTTACTCAACAACAGTCCTTGAAAAGTATAAATATAGTTGTGAACACAGAAATGGACATATATACAAAATCTAGTGTTATTGAATACATTAAAAAAAATACTTTAGATTCTCCAAACATTTCATATTTGAACTGTGGCATATCCCTGGACTATCAATATCAGGTTTTTCATTGAAATCATCCGGTGTGAATGGTTCTACTTGTCCAAAATAATGTGAGTTTAGTGTTAGACACGTTTTTACTGAAACAAAATATAATACAAATTATATATACAAAAATATTGCATGTATTATAAATTAGAAATGACGAGTGGTCGCAAGTGCGACTGCCGGGCAAGGGGTCTCGGGTTCGATTCCCGAGTCGGGCAAAGTATTACTGGGTTTTAAAAAATTATGAGTAGTAGCACGGAGTCTGGAATTGTGCCCGGTATATGGCAATAGGCTCACCCCCTATTACATGGTACTTATAACATAAATAGTGAAAAGTGGGTGTTACATTGTACAGTGTCATAATATGCACCTCTGCCTACCCCTTCGGGGAAAAAAGTCGTGATGTTATGTATGTTTAAAATGACGAGTTTACTCACGTCATACTGAGATAAGCTTTACTAATTTCGAGGGTATCTTCTTCAAAAGCAGCATGCGCATAATAATTATTCCATTCGATTCAGTAGTTCAGGAGATTAGCCCATTCGAACAAGTGTGTGGGAGAGCCATGCTTCGGCACGAATGGGCCGGCTCAACCGGAGTGATACGGCCTCACAAAAAACCGACGTAAAGCAACGCTTGCATTGTGTTTCGTCGTGTGAGTGAGGTTACCGGAGGCCCAATTACCCCCTTCCTTAGTCTCCCCAATCCCCGAATCCCCCACAATCCTCAAACTCCTAATTTCCAAAAGGCCGGTAACGCGCTGGTATCGCCTCTGATGTTCCAGGTGTCCATGGGCGACGCCGATTGCTTACTATCAGGTGATCCGTCTGCTCGTTTACCGGCTTATGCCATAAAAACAAAACATAATTTTCTTCAGCTTTATTATATTACTAATAGGTAAAGAATATGAAAATATAAATAAAATCGTCTTACCAAGAATAAAGAGCAAAAATGTAAGTATTCTATTCTTCATTTTCAAACAGTTTACACGTCATGAACACTTGAATACAAAATGCGAATTAAAAACTAAACACTTTAATTCAGTTGCTAATGAACTTCTAGATAAGATCAACTACAATCAATTCGTTATCGTTGTCATTTTAAAGTATGAATTGATTGTGAACAGATTAACATAACATAACATTACGCCTTTTATCCCCGAAAGGGAAGGCAGAGGTGCTCATTATGCCACTGTACAATGTAACACCCACTTTTCACTATTTATGTTATAAGGCCCATATAATAGGGGGTGAGCCTATTGCCATATACCGGGCACAATTCCAGACTCCGTGCTACTACTGACAATTTTTAAAAACCCAGTAATACTTTGCCCGACCCGGGATTCGAACCCGAGACGCCTTGCCCGGCAGTCGCACTTGTAACCACTCGGCCAACGAGGCAGTCTAATGAACATATTAACTGTCAGTAAAAACGTACTGTTTTTATGTTCAATCTATGTACTACAAAGTCAAAGCATTTATTTCAATTAATCCTTGATTAGGCACTTTTAAAACATCAAATTGAATTGTTAGTGAAGCTACGTGGTCGTTCCAAAGATTAGTTTGGAATGAAAAAAAAAAGCAAGAAAGATACACTATCGTTACTCTTTTCAAAAAAGTTGTTTTCCAATCTTACACAAATACATTATAATAATGATTCTTGACAATGATTTTATTTCTGGTCAACTTTATTATTATTATCAACAGCCTATAAGTCGTCACTGCTGACCAAAGGCCTCTACTCACACGGAAAATGTTTGAGCATCAATCACTACATCACTACGCGTGCTTTATGCGAGTTGCTAATTCCAAACTTATAATTAGCAATTATAAGCTCAGATTTCCTTACGATGTTTTCCTTCACCGTTTGTCAGTGTTCTCTGTTAAACATATGACATTATTATTCTTATAGTAGCTTAAATAGAAATATATTGAAAGAAAGAAAGAAGAAAAAAAAAATATTCGCCATTAGGCACAATGCACCATATACATTAACAAAAAGAGTGGTGAAACAAAGAAACAATAAAAAACATCAACAAAAAAGATATACATAGATAGAAAATAATATTCATCTCAGAGACACTCCACAGGTTAAAATCAAATACACCCCGAAACAAAACATCCAAGCCCCTTTAAAAATCCAATATAAATTGAATTCCAATCAAACAATGTTCCGACCATTTTTAATCCGATCAATTAATATTCATTCATTCACAAAATAATCCGGTCGTTACCATAACTGTTAGTCAAATACATCATCAATCATAACAATTGCTACCATACATGGTATAGAATGAGTGAACGGAATGAAAAGATTGAACTATGAACGGAAGACATGTAATTGGCAATCTGCGCACATGTTACATTAACAATAAATGGTATAGACATGGCAGTTTCGTATATCGTGAATAATTATACCGATCTATAAACAATAGGCGTCTCACGTGTAATGCAGATTACAAACCTTACGATAATCTATATTAAACTGTACAGTAGGACTGCACAGTTAAATTGTAGCGTAGAGCAAACAGTTGTACTATACATTTTTAATCAGAATTCAGGTAATAGACAAAATTGTACAGTTAATCGTACAACTGTAGAGGTAAAGTGTGTAGGTCTGCACAGATAAATTGTAGCTGAGTAGAGCAAACAGTTGAACTATAAATTTTTAACCAGAATTCAGGTAATAGACAAAATTGTACAGATAATGGTACAACTGTATAGTTAATTCCTAAAGTGTGTAGGTTGTATGAAGCTATGATATTACTATGCAGTAAAACTGTACGGTTCAATAGTTTGGTATGATTTAACTGTACAGCTCGACTGTACAGGTAAAACTTCACACTTAAATTGTTACGGTTTAACTGTACAGCACAATTGTACAATAAAACATGTGTGTAATGTGCATTACACTTATTGGTCGTTGAAGATTTAATCAAAAGGCTTGACGGTTATAAGACCCATGTTGTAAAGAGTAATCTTTGTAGTATAAGTACACTAAACTTGAATGAGCAGCAATGAAAAATCTTACTAAAAAACAAATCGTATACATTATGGGTCCAGGTTTTGGCTTGAAACTTGTCGAATGTTCTCCTAACATTTACGTGAATTTTAAGTAACCTGTATTATGAATGTATTTATACTTTTTATACAAAACCATATATGCAAACAAGAGAATTGGGAATCAATGTTGCGATTTCGTAATACCAAGATTCGTATCCCACGGGGTGCTTACGCGGTGAATCAATACTGCAAATGTCAATACAGTTAACAATAACAGATACACTGAATACGAAGTTCCCTAGGCGATACTAACTGGCAAATAATTCTGGCTTGTGATGTTATTGTTGTGAACATTATTGCGAACGTCAATGTAAAATAGTATTTCGTTCATATAGTACACATGAATAAAACAGTTACGTTAAATACCATGGGGGTCACCGATGACCGACGTTTGTTGAGTATTTGCCTTCAACATTATTCTAATGGTAGTCAAAGGCTTAATAATGTATTTTGTTCCTTAAAGGAGTAAAACAGTTGAACTGAGTTCAAATGTAGCACCCACTTTTCAAAAGAACTTGTGAGATTCACGTACATTATTTAAGTTTGGGCGAGCCATTTTTCGGCACAATGGACTCGACCGTAGTGATAACACGGCCACACAGAAAACCGACGTGAAACAACTTTTGCGGTTGTGTTTCGCCGTATGAGTGAGGTTACCGGAGGCTCGATTAACCCCCTTCCTCAGTCTCCCCAATCCTCGAATGCCCTACAATCCTCAAATCCTCAATTTGAAAAAGGTCGGTAACGCCTCTGGTGTTTCATGTGTCCATGGGCTACGCCGATTGCTTACCAGGTAATCCGTCTGCAAGACCGGTGCTGAAAAAAAAAAAAGAAAATTATGAAAGAGGTCGTTAGACTGCCACGTTTGTTACCAGTATCCGACACGAGTGAAGGATTGTATCACAATTGTTTTCACTCATCATCAGCTCTTTTAGGACATGTTTTGCTCGTAATTTATAAAATTACATTAATGATTTGCCATGATGACTATATAAGATGAATTTAATTATCGTCACGTAGATTGTAAAGCCTAATATAGAGGTATTTATGGCATGTAATAGCAATTAGTTGGAATATTGTTCGGGCCACCCTTCTGGCAATGACAAACTGATTTGCTTTGAGATAGAATGGTATGGTGTATATTTTTATACACGGTTCACATAATTTGTAACCGATCTAAAATGAGCAAATTTAAAAAAAATAACTAAGAGCAAACTTAAAAAAAGGTACTGACTAAGATTAATAGACTTGAAAAAATAATATACACATTAAATTTAGAATACTTTAAAAAAAATTCTAAAGAGCTTCAGTTACAACAAACAAAGAAACCACAATTAATTTTTCCAATAACTCAAGAAAAAATCTTCATAGAAAAACGATTCAGCCTTACCACATCCAAAGAATAAGTCTTCCTGACTTCGAGCCGTCATTGTGACGGCGACCCACATTCGAACGATTGTGCATTCATTCCGATGCACCAATTGAGAGAATCATTGTTGGCATACCGGTACTAGAGAATTTAATAGGGATCTCGGATATAATGAACGTTTTCATCCGAGTTGTTATATTGAATTTTTTGTTGGCTAAAATTAATTTCATGTGGACCAAGGGCCAGGCATGCTTTTGAAGTCAATATTTAAATTCTCTTACATACAGTTCTAATTAATGTCGCAAAAAGGAAAATCAAGTGCGGTTAAAATAATTATGAATGAAACGCAACGTCTTGTAAAAAACTGTACCAAAAAACAAGGGAATAGTTTTCCTATAGAACCCCACCCTGTACAAATAAACTGACGTTATATTTTAAGATAGAAATCATACTCATGTCTTCATAAAATGTCGCCAGTTAGGCGTATTATACACCTCACTTTTCCCTATGTGTCCAAAAAAAATATCACCGAAAATATCGAACGAAAATAGCATTTGACCTTGACAAAGAACCATGTTTATAAGACATTCATCGCCAAAAAGATATTAAAGAAATATTTGGTAAAGAATTAAAATGTCTGTACACGTGTTAAGATTTTTCAATGGCGCCGTAATTCATACATACGTTTTCCGCGTTGTCAAAGTGGTGGTCTTGCCGTGAGAGTTTCCTCAAGACCTTTCCTTGAATTGAGAAACATGGAGTATTGATTAGTTATTGTGACGAGACGAGACGAGCTAATATCGGCAAAGGCAAATTACATTCGTTACATGAATTAGGTTTGTAAAAGAAAAGCTTAAAAAACATAGAACTAATATTTTTTAAGCTGTCGCTATTATGGCTTATCGATAATACTTTATTTCAGTGCATAGTATCAAGATGCTTGGAGGCTGTATATCAATCAGATGAATGCACAAGATACGAAAAGTGTTAAAGGAATCTTAAGACCTATCGTTGTTTTCTTTTTTTTATTTGAAAGATAAATCAAATTAAATCAATTTACAAAATCTTCAAAGTTGAATGTTCTGATAGACTTGTCTACCGAAAATAAAAAATAAATGAAGCGTGAAGATCATTATTGGATAATCCACTTCTAGGTCAATGGGTAACGAGACGGTAATTAATTTCCATCTTAGCCGACTCTACCTTTTCCGTTCGATAGAGATTAGCTCGATAATCTATCTGAACGAAAGCCTTTATTAATCTCTACAATAGAGCTTTTGTAAATAGAGATCTTGAGACGGTATTAGTGGACGAAGCTCTATTATTTTTGAAATTAGTAAGATAAAGATGATTGGCTGGATCAAAAGTACTGTTTTGCTAGTTCTACTTAAAGGAAACTTGAATAGTAAAGGGATAATATAATTATTACTTAGGCCTACTGTCCTCAATGCGTCATTAAACGAATGCTTAAAAATTACCAAATATGGCGGCCTATAGTGTTTTTCATATTAAACGTCGCCTCACACTAGAATTATTCCTGAG